TATTAAAAATTGTGTCGTTCGAAAGCGTCGATTCAATTGTTCCGTTTGCACAAATCGAAAACCGGTCGAATGATTTGGCTAAATTCACTTTTTAAAGAACAGGTTTTGGTACGTTCAATTTTCGGTGGAAACTTTCTCCGAAACGCTATTTCTTAATTTTTATTAAAATATACAGTTAACATATACATCCGTATTGATTAATTTACGGCGCTCGTTTTACGAAAAAAAGAGGTGTCCGTTGTTCCTGATCGATAAACATTCTTGCAAATAATAATCCGGACAATTCTATGTGTCTATTTGCAATTAGATTGCATTTCACACGTCCAAACTGAAAACTAAGGATTGCCGCAGTCGTTTCGCCTTTAACTTCGGTTTCCTGAGAGACCAGTTCGTACCCATTTTAAGATTAAGTACTCTTTCCAAAGCCAGGAATGCGCGCACCGAGTACTTCCTTACCGGAAGACTCTGCTGTGTTTACTTTACTCGCAATTACATATCCTTCTTTTCAACTGACTTCTATACTCAAAACACGTTTCTATTTGTCGAAATACAATATTTTTTTTATGACTCGAAAACGCCGACGTTCGTTTTATTTATCGTTTAAGAAAGTTAAGCAACGACAGTTCCGGAAATACTCGAATCAGTATCATCTTCATTTTCTTGTGACAAATACATATCTTATAGTTTATAGACAATTATAAGTACATTAATACCAGGTATAGTGCGGATTCACTATAGTACGGTTTGAAAATTTCAAAACAAACTAAATTTAAAAAAATAAGCATACGAAATTATTTATGATCATTTTTTCTTCTTCTATACAGATGGTTATTTGTATACCATTTAAAGAAAAGTTCTCGATTAATCCGGTTTCAAATAGTGGTGTTTACGGAACCGATTAACCGCACTATGCGAGGTATTGCTGTACTACAATTACTAATAATAAGTTACTAATCTATCGACTTATCAAATACTTAATTTGTTTATTACGATTTATCTAATTTGTTTGATTTGTTAATATCAATGTTATGAAAATAAACACATCATAAACAATTAAAGATGACAAGTGCATATCGTAATTATTCGCTTATTACGACTTGAACTCATTCATTATTTAAAGGCTTATCTGCACGTTGCGCAATTTATTTTCCTCTCGAGTATAAAACATAAGGAAATGAAATATTTATCGTTTCATTTGCATTGCATTTCCGAAAGCCACGAGCAACCGAATATAAACGCGTTTGATTGGTTTTTGTTTTATGGTCATTTCCTGCTTGAATTAATTGCATCGAGTGCAATTGTTTTAATTAGTTACTGCACAAAAAAACAACAACAACAACAAAAAAAACTACAGTATGTTGCATTGAATTATTGTAATAAGTTTTTGTTGCTGTTATGGAAATTCAGCTGTATAAATAAAGCTACAGAGTTTTTTTTGTAGTTGATGTTGTTTTAATTGAATGTATGTGGTTTTGAGCAAATAATTGTTACTAAGTGGGTAATAGTATCTGCATCCATCGAGTGCCTTGTATGTAAATCAAACGAATTAACTGTATGGACATGAAGTGGAGGAACTTATCTGATGTATCCTCAGCGTAATACCCACATCCGTTACCTAAGTTGGTTTCTTGAATATGCAAAAGCTAGTATTACATCGGATTCAAGACTCTTAAATCATCTAGCTGCTTTCGAGTGAATGTAAATAAGATAAAATCACATGGATTTTCTTTACATACTAATTTTATTTTAAAATTTAATAATTTACGATAGCCTTAATATTGAAGTCCTGATAATTTCTACATGTTTAATTTATTATTTCTTATAGCGAGGAAATTGATTATAATAACGAAAAATAAATCAATATTTCTTTGCATGAATAATAAAGGAATTAAACAAAATATGAAATGCTCTTGCATCATCGATTTTTTGCGCCGGAAATGGGCGATTAATGTACGCAAAACGGTTACAAATAAAAGTCTTCCTGTTTGATTTAATTAAAAGTTAATACAAAAAAAAATTGTTTATCAACATTTTAACTATTAACTTCTACTATATATTTATTATTTTTGCAAACATTCGGTGAAGCTCATCTTCTCCATTGATGAAGCTCTTAGCACGTCAAACGTGCTAAACGTCAAGTCGGATTGTTATTTTAGCCCCGGTTCGCAAACAAATGCCGTCCGTTTTAATCCATTAACCAAATTGGCTGCTGCAATTTAATGACGCCGCGCAATTTTCTTCCATGGAATATTTACAATAATTATCATTAAGTCTTGCAAGAACCTGCCTCTCGCGCTGCAAAACGCGAACGCCATTAGCTCTAAAGAGCACACGGATGTGCAGGGAATTCCCCCCTTTTTTCAGAGACGATTATTAATTGTCACACACAACCGAAGCGTTACTCTCTCGCATGCAGCGGTTTGTATCTTGCAACAAGAAAATTATAAGAAAAAAACATTGCAATTAAATTAAGGAAATGACATTTTTTTTCTCAGTTAACTAAAGATCACACATATTTCGTGAATATTAATAATTATAGAATCTAAACAAGGTTTGACATTGACTATCTTGATTTTATTCAATATGCAAAACTATAAATAAGGACGTAACATCCTTTAACTAAAGATTCCTTAATCCGCTGAAATTTACATAATTTTTGACGTTTACTGTCAAAATTTTATTCATAACAGCTTCATAAATTATCACCTTGGAAACCAATATGTTTTTTTTTTTAAATAAATAAAGGTAACATTTAAATTGTATTAAAACAGCGTTTCTCAATCTTTTTCAACATATTCGCTTGTAGTTCATATTTTTGACACATGATGACAGCTGTCATTTAACGACCTATTAAACATTTAATCCGATACATAGGTTCAGAAACGCTTTTATAATTTATCACCGAAATGTCAGAAAAATTTATAAAAATAATACTTAAAAATCTATTCACTTGGAAACTTGGTTTTGATTCAATTATTTTCATTTTTTTTACTTTTATAAATCCCTTTTATTTAATAATTTAATACAATATTTGGAAATAAATTTATTCTTTGAATACTAAACAATTACTTAAGAATCGAAAGTGTTAAATGAACATTTGAAGAAATGAAGACAAGAAGTAGGTAAAATGCAAATATGAATTTTTAGCAAATGTACATGAAATTGAAAAAAAATTGAATCTATGAATAGTTAACAAACCGTCACTAAAGAAACTTGCAAATTAAAACTATGAATATTGCAATTGTAGATGGAATCGAAACATAATGGAATCCACGAATAATTAACAATCTATCACCGAGGAAACGTGCAATTTATGACTGTAGAGTTGTACAAATGATTATTAATTAATGAAACTAGCGAAATAATGATGTATTTTTTTGTTTTGTTGATGGAGATTCGATTTCCGGGGTGGGGAAAGCATGATTAAATCGGAAACACGGCTAAATAGCTGTGAGTTTTCTTCGGATGGACGAATGCGATAAGTAATTAAGTGCAGTAATAATTGTGTGTGCGAGTGAGTGAGTGAGTGTGTGTGGCCCCAAGTCCGTATCATTGGAAGAAAATCATTACCGGATATAGCGTTGTTAAATACAATAATATAGTTGTTACATTGTTTAATCCGACTGTAACCATGACAATTTAATGTATGTATGTGAAAAGACACATGGGAACGGAGATGGAATTAAATTGGATATCGCGGATGGCTGTTGTTGTTGTTGCTTTTTGATGTTGTTGATTTTCATTCGTATTTTATTTTCGCTCGTAGCTAGTCGTTCGTTGCACATTTTGCACTCTCCTCGTTTCCCTGTACAAAAATAAATGAAGATTATATTCGAGTTCGTCACATTTCAACGGATATATGTTCTCAAGACTTTAGCTAATTCGCGGATTGTTGTTGTCCTTGATACATTGGTCTAGCATAATTATTGCTCTTCCACTATACGGAACACCACGTACGAAACGTTCAAGAGGAATATAGAAAACATTAAAAAGATGTTTGTAATAGCGCAAACGATAAATTCCTTAAATCTATATATAAATATATTTTATTCATCTTAGTTTTCGCTGGTCCTTTCAAAGAAATTATTCAATAATGTAAATCTAATAATAATAATACTACAACATCAGACTTTCTCTCGCTTCGGGATTTATTAAAACGTTTCGATTTAGCATATCTGTGAAAATGTGTATTTGTAAAAAAAAAGAGAAATCAATTAATGGATTATTATAATTTTCGTCTACAGAAAAATAATAGGTCATGATTTGGGGAAAATAAATATAAATTATACTGAATGAATTCGATTAATTAATTGTTTCTCATTTAAATAATCGCTTGTCGCGGCTTCGTTTAATTTTATGTTTACGATGTCTTCGTGCACGTTAATCTCTGTGCATGGCTTAATAAGTTTATGATTGAATAATTGTTTATCGAATGTTGCGCTTGATGTATACGCAGAGATAAAAATAGTGAACACACGGCTGCAGCCCACACACACAAACCAATTGACTTTGTGCAATTCGTTTCATGTTACCGCGTCCCTGAATTCTACATTGTAAATAAACGAACGAGTCCATAAAGTACGCATGAGCATTGACAATAAGAACTTGCAAACGGAAAATCAATATACCCAATAGAATGTGAACTATCGATTTGTTCTTATATTTTGATGATGATGAGAGCATAAGAGTTTTAGGATAAGGAATGTTTGAGTAAATAGTTTAAATACACACATCAAATGCTATTTTAACGTTATATAATGGCATTCATGCGGTTTTAGCTTAATGCGAGAGTGAAATTATTCATCAGGAGGATAAATGTCAAATGTGAACTTTTACTTATTTATAATTTCTGGTTCGACGTCATTTGCGGCGGAGAGCATTTATCATCACTCTTGCCTTTAGCTTTTTTGTATTATTATTATTTCTGTTATTGTTGGTTTAGTTGCGGTGAATTTGATGGACGTTCTTTTGATCTTTGTTGTTTTTTTTTTGTGCTCCAGGGAATAGCAAACCATCTCATCCTCATGGCCACAACCACGCGGCGATTAAAGATATAGGAGGAAGTATACTCGGCTGCAGCGACGATAAGAAGGATGACGGAGAATTGTGGAACAACGTGGAGGCGCAGGCGGCGTTCCTCGGGCCCAATCTCTGGGATAAAACATACGAAACAGACCTCAAGGTGATGATTATTGTTGATGTTTAAATCTGAGATGTTTGACGGTTTTGGTTCTTTTTATTTTTTGCAGTATGTGGATCTGGACGAGTTCCTTTCGGAGAACGGCGTGTCCATGGACGGGCTGGGCTCCCATGGATCGCTGGGTCCTTTGGGCTCCTCGCACACAATACCAAAACGGGAAAGATCTCCGAGTCCCAGCGACTGCATGAGTCCCGATACAATGAACCCACCGTCACCCGCAGATTCTAGTAAGTGTTTAAGGTCGACCCCGAGATTGATCTCCACTTTGGCAAAGTTACAAAGAGCATTAACAATTTAGCTATTAGTATGCTGTAATATGTTGAATGTGGCCGAAGACTTGGTGTTATTTTGTGTGTGAGCCCTCAGCTCGAAAATATATATATTTCACACATTCTGTTTGGTGTATTAATTAGTTTTCGTTTTTGAATCAAGGATGTTGTTTTTCCTAAAAAGATATATTAACTCTCTCATTTGACGTATCTTTGACTTAAGAATTTGCGAATTAAAATAAAAATGAAAGCATAAATAGTTGTTACACCATACTAATGTCTAAAATATAGTTTTCTCTGAAGCTTTGTCGATGGCTTCAAGTTGTCGTGACTTTGATCCACGGACAAGAGCATTTTCAGACGAGGATCTAAAACCGCAACCCATAATCAAGAAGTCCCGGAAACAGTTCGTGCCCGACGATCTGAAAGACGATAAATATTGGGCACGTCGCAGGAAGAACAACCTCGCGGCGAAGAGATCCAGAGACGCCCGACGCATGAAGGAGAACCAAATCGCCCTTCGAGCCGGATATCTAGAGAAAGAGGTCAGTTGCAGTTGCGACTATTTCATTTCCTGCAACCGAAAGAATGAATGAATCAATCAAAAACAAATCTAACTCTTAATATTTTCGTTTTGCAGAACATGGGGCTCCGTCAAGAACTGGAACGACTGAAAAAGGAAAACTTGCTGCTACAAAACAAATTGTCGAAATACGAAGATGTATAACCATTCGAGCTGGTCTCCGTGTTATATATATATACTAAAATAGATATACATCTCAACTGTTACTCATTTAACACAATTTTATAAAAATCAAGTTTAAAAAAAAATACCCAGAAACAAACAAGCTAGTGTTCTTCGGAAACCAACCAAACATTGTATATAAACATACACATACCGTAGTCATCATGTAGTATTAAGAGTTAATTTAGTAGAGAAAAATAATATATTTAAGTCGCTGCGGTGTGGACGTGCGGGCCTTTTAAATGTCTAATATTCATTTAATATGTAGTATTATTCAATAATACTTATATTTAAGCATATACATCAATTTCCTAAATGTATATTTTTGTTTTTTTCTTTCTGCACTTAAAGCAACTACAAGCAACAACTACAACAAAAATATTTAATTAACAAAAAACACCAATCATCATCACCAACTCAGGTGTCTTCTTCAGTTCCAAGTTCTCGCGCGCATCAAACACTGTATCAGTGTTTCCCCTTAATTACTGCCATTGTCAATTAAGATATTGAACATCTAAGATGTCCCCATTCTGCACCTAGCACTGAATCCTTAGCGTTTCTATTTTTTATTTTATTCCCCCCCAATTATTTTTATTTTTCGTTTCGTTTTTGTAAGAAATTTAGATTTGTATAGCCGTTGCGCTTTTTGTTATCGTAGACTAATTGTTGATTGTTTTTATGTTTATATAGTCTATTTTTGGTTGAAGTTAATAATAATAATAATAGTGGTAATCTATAAATTCTACGATTTAAGCATAACTTAGTAATGCTCACAAAATACAGGTTCTCTGGTTAGGAAGAAGAATTGAAGAAGAAGAAGAAAAAAAAATGAATTGCAAACTAGCGACGCTTAATAATAGATAATATTAATGTGAACAAGTAATGAAGCGGTCAAACCTCTACTATATGTATATCTTCACGATTTAATTTAAGAAGCAGACTAGAATTTTTGCCTGAAAAACAAAGTGTTTTTTTTTTCTTTCGTTCTTTCTTTCAAAGAAAATAGACACGTACACACAATTTTCTTTCTGTTTAGCTATAAATGTAATGTCGTAGCGCGAACTCAAGTAATATGCCAGCTTTCAGGATATTTATTTCGACGTAGAGACGTAGTAGTTTCGGAGTTTCGTTGATATTGTGAAAAAAAAAAATTTAGAGGAAAAGTATTTTTTAAATAAAAGACAATAATTTTTTTTTCAGCTAACCATAATCGCTTTGTTTATTTAGTAAAATCGACAGACTAGGATGAACATTTTCGTTTACGTTTTTCTTTGTGTTTTCCTTAAAATTGTTTTTTCGTTTCGTTTCGTTTACAAAAACAAAAATTAAAAAAAAAATATATGATCAAAACAACAACAACAACAACACAATTGTACAATTTCTTTACTTTATCCGGAAACAGAGCAACAAAAAAAACTAAAAACAAAACCATGAAATTCATACGAGCACATTAATTGTTTTTTTTTTACTCTCTCTCGTTTCATCTGTATAATATTTAATATTCGACTGAACACTATTCTTAATTTACATAAGCAAAGGAAAAACGACGTTTTTGTTTATTGTTTATTTTATAATAATAAATATTAAAAAAAAGAAGAAGTAATTAAAAGAAAAATTGCCTTAAAGTGGAAATATAACTTTTATATATGAATTTGTTAAGCCGGTTTTATATAAGCATATAAAATTGAAATATTTTCATTGAGAAGGATTTTTTTTTGGATGTATTTATAAATATACTAATGTTGATGAAATATTGTTGAATGTATAAAGTATAATTGATTTTTATATAGTTGTAAATTAAGGATCAATGAACGGCCTCAATTGTGAATTTAATTTAATTTTTCTCCTTATTATTATATTTTTTTTGTTTATATATATATATTATATAATATATTATTATTATTTTGTTATTTCATTGAAAAAAAAAGTTAATGAAGATTCTATTATTGTTTATTATTATTATATTATATTACCTTTACTTGTTTCAAACTTTTATTTTTGATTATATGTTTTTTTTTTGTTAATATAAAAGAAAATTGTAATTGCTGTTGTGAGCATTAAATTCATAAAATGCGAGATCGCGTTTTATTTATATAAATAATGTTTTCTTTTTGTTATTGGTTAATTTATTTGTTGAAGAGCGAAAGCAAAAAATAAAGTGGAACTTCGCTTAATCAGTTTAATTCCGTTAATTTATGGATTTTTACTTGTATAGTGAAACATATTCAATAATACACATACTTTGTGTACAGAAGTTTTAAAAATGATGTAGCAGGCGCGCAATTTGGAACATCTCTGCTCATCGTCACTCGTTATGCGAAACGTGGCTCGTTAATCGAATCATTTTTCTTACAATTTATTTTGCTCGTTAAGCGAGGTTCCACTGTATTCGTTTATTTCCAATTTACGGTCGAGTCTGATACGGATTTAGATAATCCGAGTGGGTTACTCAGTAACCTTTTCAGCGATAACAAACAAACTTTACTATTTGTTTTGAACTTCAACTTTTTTTTTTCAGATACACACGTTGCTAAACTGATTTACGTATGCACAACAGAAAACTATGTTTATTTTCTTCTCTCTCCATAACAACTAAACAACTATTTACTTAATCAAGACCAAGATAATACTTGATAAGAAAACTTCCACATCATTTTTTTTGTTTTATATATGAAAAAACAAAATATAAAGGAAATGTTTGATTTGTAAACACGAATACTCTCAATTATTAGATATAGAACTTTAGTGACGAATACACTTATTTTTGATTCTTGACGTTGTTCCTAACGTCGCTTTTTGTTTGTTTATAACTACAAATTATTTTCTTCATTGGATAGACGTAAATGTTTGAAGTTAATTTGCAGTAAGTTGGATGCACTTTTATTTTGCAAACGTTTATTTGTAGTTTAAATTAAGATATAAATCTATATATAAATATTGTTATGGAAGTTAATATCTGCAAGTACAATTAGAGATAATATTATAATACTTAACTATTTCGTGTAATACTATTTGTATTCATATTCTGATGTTTTTATTTTCAAATAAATTTGAGTAATTAATTGATTTATAGCCTAATCAAGTCATTTAATTAATTTTTTTACCTATTAGCAACTGATATCATTAATAAACAAGTTTTCAATGTTGATATACTTGAAAATACATAATTTATTACGAAATATAGATAAATAATAACACAAAACAAATATAATTTTATCATTTCATTCCATATTTATGAATATGGAAATACACATAGATAATTTGTACAGAATATTAATTTAAATTTGGAAAACTAAAGTAAGTATAGTAATTAATTTAAATTAAATCTAAAAACATTCAGAAACAACATCAAATATAAATTATACAAACTCTAAAAAATATCAGAAATTAATACTACTAAATTTGTACACAATTTGAAGCTGATAAATTCGTTAATATTCAACAATAAATAATGATCTCAGTATGTACAGGAAATATATGTAACTAAGGAAACGTTATATTTCGACAATTAGATGCGTTCATCAATTTTCAATGACTAATATTGAAATGCATCTCAGTGTGTACTGGAAATGACTATTTATAAATAAAACAAATTGTTTGTGTGACATATTTCGGTGTTCGCGCTGAGTGATTTTCACAAGTTTCAGTTTTTGAAAAGAGACAATTAGACAACTAATTATTTGCGATGTGGAAATTTCATATGGACATACGCCAAAACGCATCTCTTCTCCGAAAATAAGGTATTGCGAAACGGCGCTATACTAACATCGGAATTTGGTAACATTTTTGAATCATTGCAACTAGAAAATAATCAATCGTCAAAACATTAATCACTTGTTTTTTTTTTTAATTTATGAATATTATGCTTTATATGTTATAAGTTGATTTGATGATTATTATTTACTAGATGTTTATTTTTTTTGTAACATATACTTTGTAGGTTAGTATATTTGTTAGTTTAATTTAGCCAATTAAATTATTTTATTGTAACTTAATCTAAAAGTTGAATGCTTTATATGCAACCATCATTACATCATTGCTCTAATAGTGGTTTATACCGGTGGCAATTGAAAGCCCAACAACCGAAATCCCGTCAATCAAATTCCCGACGTTCGAAATCCCGACTGTATCAAAATCTCGACATTCGGAATCCCGACTGTATCGAAATCCCGACAACCATAATCCCGATTATATCAAAATCCCGACAACCATAATCACGACTGTATCAAAATCCCGACTATATCGAAAACGTCTACAATAAAATTTTAAAATTATTCCGGTCTTCATTGGTTATTTTCTTAGTGATATTATGTTAGTTTCAAGTACAGTCGAACCTCGCTTAACGAACATTTCGCTTAACGAGCAAAATGAATTGTAAGAAAAATGACTTGCTTAACGAGTGACGATGACAAGAGAAGTTCCGGATTGCGCGCCTGCTACATCATTTTATGTAAAAATCCGAAGATTTTGAAACGGATTAAACTCGTTAAGCGAGGTTCCACTGTAATCATAAATTATTTAGTTGGTACAATTACTAAAATACCTAGTACCACTATATTAAGTTGGTGCACACACTATTAATTCTCCAAGTCACCAAATAAACGTAAATAATCTAAGCAGTGTATACCTACCTTAAGATAAGTCAAAATAAAAATTATGAATGTGTTGTAATGCGATCAGTTGCTTATAACAAATAAGGTATGATCATATAAAATAAACTGAATTTGTTAGTCATGTTTTCCTTTTAAGCACTAAATGTATATTTATGCATATATATATAAGTTCTTTAATCAATTTATTTTAAAAACCATATATTTACGCACATTCAAATAATTTATTGATGACAAATTTAACTCTTTGAGGGTCGGTGGTACACGCAATGTACTGCATTTCGAAAGTGCCTAGTGGGGCATTATATTTTTCTAGGAAATGTCTAGGAAAAAGGAATTATCCTTTAATTTGGTTGGTATGTCAAATGATGAATCTTGATCCGATGTTGATTCACTTGACGTAGTTGTCTGATTCAGTTGTCTAAAAATTTGTTGGGTCTAGAAATTTAGGAATTTATCAAACAGTTAAAATGTCAAAATTTTAAATGCTTGGAAACTTTTTCTGCTATTTCATATTTTTTTTACCTATTACAGCATTTTTTTCTTAAGAATTGTAATTGTTTTTTATATAAAAAAATATTTAATGAATATGAATTAAATTTTTGATATTTATTTAAATGTCATTAAAGAAAATGTTGATTTTTTGTTTCATAGTGTTTTTAGTAAAATAATAATCGTTTTGTAAAATGCTTGACTGGTTGCACTCTGAGAAGATTAACAAATTAATTTAAACAAAAACTAAAAGATGATTATTGCGATATGTAAATTTACTACAATTATTGAAAGTATCTAATTTTTATATTAGATTATATAGTTATTTCTTATTACTGTTAGTTGTCACTTTCTATTTTATGTTTAAATGTTGATTAATATAACTATTGCTTATTTTTGATGATATCTTCAGTAATGTTTAGTAATTATTTTAATTTGTTTTGTTAATTGAGTT